CCGTTGCAAACACTATAGCTTATCAATTTGAGGCCCTCTATTCCAGGGCTTCGATTCCATCTTTTTCTCACACAAAAGTCGTTCAAAAGATCAAACAGTTGCATGAAAGAAATCTCATCCTAGAGAAAAAAAAAACAAGATTGGGAAATAAAACAAATACATTGATTTTATAAAGCAATGTACAAGCTCATTATTTGACATATTATCCTGCAAATGTGGGATGACACTGCACTGATCCTGTGCAAAAACCTCTGACAAATGCATTTGTCTCAGTTCGGTAGTTGTCAACTGCACTTGCCCTATAGACAGAAAGATACATCCATTAGAAATAAAATTTCTGTATGCTCAAAGACAACTTAGGCAAAGTAAGATTGGGGCAGTTGATGTAAAAAAAAAGTCAGAAGCTTACACTAAGGTTGCAAAGAAAGGCTCGTCAGATAAATCAAACCCGCTTGCCTGGACCCCTTGACTCTAAAGCAGAGATTTCCTTTGATGTTAAGGATGATTCTGACTTTCAGTCCCCACGCCCTTTGTCATCTCAATCAGGTTGCTCAAAAACTTCACAGATGCGATTATCACTTCCAGCAACTGCTTTGGTGTGTCTGACACAGCCACAGCTGCTATTACTTCTAGCGTACTTAATGATCTAGGTCTTATTACCGACAATGACAAATCTCTTATCGTTGATAGGAGCAAAATTAGAAGAGAGAAAGATAAATGTAGACTGAATCTTACCACATCGGAGAAGGTTTAGCTCCTACCTCAAAAAGTGGAAAAGATACAGCATTTCGCATTGTAGACTACTTTGACGAAAGTGGAATAGATTCATCCAACATTGTAGTCGTTGGATCTGATGGCACTTCAACAAACACAAGCTGGAAAAATGTGGCAATTAAATATATTGAAATGCGTTTAAAGAGACCAGTGCAATGGGCTATCTGTCTCCTTCATTTCAATGAGTTACCTTTGAGACATTTTGTCGAATCACTTTATGGGAAAACCTCTGGTCCTGAGTCTTTCAGTGGCCCTCTCGGCAAACAGCTGCCACAGTGCGAATCTTTGTCTGTCGTTGTTTTTCACAAATAGTTGACGATATGAACTTAAGTAAAGATCAAAGATACTTACATGACATAGCGGTAGCACTATTGATGCTGGATCTTGCTCGTCAGACCTAGAAAATCGAGATCCGCGACCAATGTCACACTCTCGATAATTGACAACTGCGAACAGGTCTCTGAGGTTGTACATATCTCTGCGGAAACCGTCCAATAACATGACTCAGATTGTAAAATACATTCTTGCGGTATAGCTAAATCTGTGATTCGAAATCAAAACAAAATCTTCGATAGTTGACGGACCTAAACATATTATAGAAACCTACCGTCTTCGGTTCAGGCAGTAGTTCATAAAGTCATCCAGAAAATATTCCTCTTTCGATGGTAATTGATGACAGAGAGCATGTCCGAAAACTCGAACTTAATCGAGTTTTAGAATCCAAAGAAGTTCCCGTAAAGGGCAAGAATGTTCGAAAATGTTTGGTTCCCAAAGTAAATTTTGAAGCGAATGAATATTTTGAGTTAATAAATTGGTCAAAAGCAAAACTTATCAGTCCCCCGCTTTTGGCAAGTCTTTCTTCCAATACAATTTTACAATTAATATCTAGTAAGGCCAAACCAACATTAGACATAAATTTGGCAGATATTCCATGCCACACTCAGGCTGTGGAACGCTGTGTTAAACTTGTAACACAAGCCTCCTCAAAAGTTTACGGACCCGAAAGACGTGATGGGTTCATAAGAGCAACCATCACCTTTCGTTCGTCCATGCCTAAATTTGATACTAAATCAGAGTTTGCTATTCCGCAATAATTTTCTACATCCATTTTTGGTTGGTTGGTTGGGAAGGTAGTTGGTGGAACTCGCGGTGCAGCCACCTTCCCGTGGTGAGTTCTGAGCTGTACAAAAAAGTGCGAGCGAAGGGCTACACAAAAGGAATAACATTTTTATATAGTGTACCACAAGTTCATTCTATCTACACAAAATTAGCTTGTTTGGACATCATTTTCGAAGTATGAAATCTATTCCATTTTTCTTTAATTTAGTAAACTTTAAATGCAATGCGCGAACGGGAGATATTGTCTGATTTCAAATACTATTACGATTCGTTTCGGAAACTTTTTTATTTTTCGCTCCGGTCTATTCTACACATGTTCCCAGGCTATTATCATTGGCATTGATGAAAAAGAGTTCAATTATATATTATTTACCAGAAATGAGTTTTATCATAGAAATCATTTGATAGTTTACTTTTTTCAGTGATTAAAATATATTCAGTCCTTCAACAGAAAATTTGCAAAACATTTATTTTTAAATACAAAAATTTACGTGCAAATTAGAAATAATTTTTCTGCAAGCTAGTATATGCTTAATTATTTATAGCTTTGAATTTATATCATCCTGAACGTAAAGACCAATATACATGACTTTGGAAAAGATTGTACACTAGTGTACTAATAATTTGTAATAGAAGATAACAAGATTGCCAATATAAAAGATTTGCACGTGATGGGAAGGTATGCAAATAGATTGAATTCCACTAGTACTAGTTACACTTATGCTTAAGGAGTTACATAGGCCTTGATACTTCAAAAAATTATTTGTTTAAAAATTTTTTTTGTATAAAGGTAAAAAGTGTAGGAATATTTTCCCTAAGTTTCGAGTTGATCGAGACGAAACTGTAGAAATTATAGAGTTTTACAACTCGCCGTCATTGTCATGGCTTGACCAATGGCGAAACTTTAAGCGCGTTTTTTTAAGACCACTTTGTCGAAATCGGCAGTCCGAATTTCTCAAAGACTATTCAAGCATTTTTTTGTAGTCCCTGATTTCAACTCATTTTATAAGCCAATACGTGGCCTATTTTTATACAAAAAGTGACGTTTTTTTTAAAAAAAAAACGCTTCAAATAATTCAATTTTTATTGTTTTTAATTTATCTCCGTACAGGGACAAGGAAAGTTCACCTTATTTAAGAAAAAGTTTGAATTTTTGATTACATATAAAAATTGAAAAGGTTATAATGACTACCGAAAAAGAACTTTCTTGTGGACGTTCTACTTTACGACACTGCCAACGCCTTAACTTATAACAATTTTTCATTTAATTTTTCATCAAACGTTGTCCACGTATTGAACTTTTATAAGTAAACAAAATAAATTGTATACTTTATTTAGCATCTTTTGAAAAATTAGAGAAATCAAAATTTTTTTTGCCTTCAAGTCCTATGTAACCCCTTAAAGCGATGCGCTTAAACCGGGATTAGTAATAGTTATCAGCTCAATAGTTAACAGCTGTAGGATCAATTGTCCATACATAAAAAAATAAAACTTAAAAAAAAATCTCTATTTTGTAATCAAAAAACTAAAATATCATGTTTATGATTATTTCTGTAAAGAAAAATTTAATACATCATCACTTTTAAGCGTAAATATAAGTATCGAAAATAAAAATTATATCTGACAGTAAAAATATAACTTAAAAGTTAATAATTAAAATTTGTTATTAATTTTGATTTTTACTTTCATTTTGTTTCTAAAAAATCAAATTCAATTTTTTTATTTATACCTATGAAAATTGCTTATAAAGTAAGCAAAAAGTATTAGCATCTTGTGACAGAAACTATTATAATTGGCGCCCTATAACCGCTGAAGCGATTTTCGGCTGAGCTTCTCCTCCAATTTGTGTTTTTGCGTCTTGATGTTTTTCCAATAAATAGAAGGACTTACATTTTATCCTAAGCTGTCTCCGAGCGTCTGCTGGTTTTTTATGATGAGCATATTTCATTTCACTCGGCTATCGCTCCCACCTTCAGTAATATTGTAATTTCGAAAACTTGTCTGGATTTCGATCTTACTCGTAGTAGCAGGTACGAGTATGTTATGACATTAGGAAGGCTCGGGTTCAAATCCCGTTGCTACCAACATCCAAAAGTTATAGAAAATTTATTTAAATAAAAAAATTAAGTTAAATTTTCTAATTGCGGTCGCCCCTCGGCAGGGAATTTCCACCCCTCCGAGTGTATTTCGGACATGAAATAAAAGCTTCTCGCAAAAAAACCATCCGCCGTCTTAGTATAAATTGCAGTTCCATCCAGATGTTGAAAAATCACCAAGTCGAAAGCCAAAAATTGGAGGAGGAGCTCGGCCGAAAAATTGCTTCAGCGGTTATAAAGTGCCTAACATAAATATATATATATATATGTAGTTCAAATCTGATTGTGAATTATTTGAATGAACTCGAGGAGCAAAAAGCAATATGGTGGTGGTAGGCAAACAAGAACAAACAACGAAGGTGGAATGTCACCAGTCGAACATGGTCAACCTCATTAAATTACCTAAAAAAACTTAGCGGTTTCAGGTAAGAAAGTTCTAGCAGCCCATACGAACGAAAATAAAAAAATTAAAGCAAATTGAACCATAAATAAGATTATTAAGTACCAGTTTTTGCAAGTTAATCTAAATGATAAGCTACTAACAAATTAAATTTGAAATGAATGCAATCGTTTTTAAGATTATCTCGCATGAATCGGTCCCCAAGGCTCCCTTAATAAAATTGAATTTAATTTCGTTCCAGCCGTTATCAGTTCAGGAAAAACTATATATTGTTTTCAACATTAGGGTTTCCCATTACGCGAGATCGCATACGAGAGTTATTTTTTTTCTCACTTGGTTACAATATATTTATTCTGCATAATACATTGAAATAGCAATTGTCATAGTGCACACTATGGAATTGCTCGGATTTTAAGTGCGCGCAAATTTTTGAAATAGATGAATCCAATATGTCCTCTTCCCGATGTGAAAAATATATGTTATGTTTTTCTCAGACCTATTGAAAATTTCATTACAAGCTGTGACCCGAGAATTTTATATATTAGCGTCCGGCGGAATAGGTAGATTCCAAAAAATGTATTTCAAATATACTTTATAAAAATTTTGCTTACCAAGGATGTGCTAATGATTGTTTGCAGGTATAACGTTTGTCCACATTTACGCTCATCAAGTTCTGTATAAAATGTTTTGCCGATTCGCTGATTTCATCCCAATACGGAGAGTCGAATTCGAATTCTCCTGTTGAAGTAAAATTAGAGGTTACATTTTTTAATAACCAGACATTATTATTACTATTGCTTTGTACTATTCAACTCTATTTATTAACAAAAATAAATCGTCAGACTATGAATACCCGAGTATGTATGTATATGAGAATAAACTTAAAGTCCTGGATAATAGTAATAATCGATGCACAGAGCTATCTGCGCTATAAGGAGTATTGGTACATGATTTCGAAATCATCTAATTTATAATCAAATTTCTAACCGGTCGGACATAAAATTTTATTCGTTATGTTTCTATCAAAATATGAACTATTGTAATGCTCGTCTTCAAATTATTTTCCACACGAAATAAATAAAAAACGAAGGAATTTGAAGTTTTATAAAATCCACTATATAATTAAATATGAATATTTATCTAAGTTAATATGCTGAAAATGAAAAATCTACCCATTTTGAAATTACTCCAATGTTTCGTTGCACGTGTTCATTAGTGTAGACATCTTCAAAAAAGTGAATCACGATTTTAACGGAATGGCTTCAATACCAAGAAAGGCAATTATAAAAGTCACCAGTGGTTTTCCGACTTCAGCGTTGATAAATACCAACGCTGAGAATTCATACTCATATGCATGCAAAATATGTATCAATTCAATTCAATTAAACAAAGTTACCATCAATATAACAAATATATTTATTATATAATTTGCGGTTGCTGAATGTATGCGTGAAATTAACCAAAAGGGTACACGGGCTTAACAGAACCCAGCCAAAGCTAAAGGTTTTGGACACTATGGAGTTCAGGAAACAGAATCGTTTTCGACTTTATTATACGGTGATAAGCAGCACCACAAAGAACCAATGCAACGTTTGTGAACTTGTAAGGACCCCACAAACCTAGATGTTGCAGCCCTTTCAATAACACAAGAAAAAATAAGTAAATACTATATATTGGGTTGCCCAAAAAGTAATTGCGGATTTTTTAAAAGAAAGTAAATGAATTTTTAATAAAACTTAGAATGAACTTTAATCAAATATATTTTGTTCGATAACCTTTTGCCATCTTCCTGGCAAATTTAATATTCCACGCTCATAGAACTTCTGGCCTTTATCTGTAAAAAACTGAATCAAGTGCGATTTTATAGCCTCATCATTGCCGAAAGTTTTACCATTTAAGAAGTTCTGAAAAGGTCGAAATAAATGGTCAGGGCTATATGGTGGATGCATCAAAAGTTCCCAGCCAAGCTCACTCAGTTTTTGGCGAGTGACCAAAGATGTGTGCGGTCTAGCGTTGTCCTGGTGGAATGTGACACCTTTACGATTGACCAATTCTGGTCGCTTCTCCTTGATGGCTGTATTCAATTTGTCCAATTGTTGACAGTAAACATCCGAATTAATCGTTTGGTTCCTTGGAAGCAGCTCAAAATATACGACACCCTTCCAATCCCACCAAACAGACAGCATAACCTTCTTTTGGTGGATATCAGCCTTTGAAGTGGTTTGAGCTGGTTCACCATGCTTGGACCATGATCGTTTTCGACTAACGTTGTTGTAAACAATCCATTTTTCATCTCCAGTTATGATTCGTTTTAAAAACGGATCGAATTCATTGCGTTTAAGGTGCATATCACAAGCGTTGATTCGGTGTGTTAAATGAATTTCTTTCAATACATGTGGTACCCAAATATCAAGCTTTTTCACCAGTCCAAGACTTTTTATGTGATAATGAACGGTTGATTTTGGTATATTTAACTTCTCTCCTATCTCACGCTCAGTTACATGACGATCCAATTCGATTAATGCTTTGATTTGGTCATCATCAACTTCATTTGGCCGACCTGAACGTGGCTCATCTTTAAGTGAAAAATCTCCAGAACGGAATTTGCGAAACCAATTTTGACACTGTCTTCCTTTTAAGGCTTCATCACCATACACATCTCGTAACTTTTTAGCAACCTGCTCCGCGTTTTTTCCTTTACGGAAATAATAAAGTAAAATATGACGAAAATGCTCCTTTGTGGGCTCCATATTAAAATTGACGCCAAACAAACAAATGTAAACAAAATTTCGCGCACTTTTTTTCTAAAGCAAGCTAAAAGTAACAGCTGATAACTGACAGAAGAAAGAATGCAATTACAGAGTCACAAGCCGTTGAAAAAATTTGTCAACGCCGACTATATGAAAAATCCGCAATTACTTTTTGGGCAACCCAATAAATACTTTATTTGAACTTGACAATATGTACATGTATACATATATGTACATACATAAAAAAATAAACTTTACTAAGGCATATTCTCTTAGATTTCTTAAGGCCAAACGTCAATTTTTATGAACAAGGCCTATACGTGTATACATACCCTCACATAGCATTAAGGAATACAGCTGCCTGCGTGCAGGGAAGTATAAAAAACGTGATCATAATTTAAAAAATTTGATTTGGCAGTAGATTGTGTTAGGCATACTTGGCCGTAAAAATCACCGTCAAACGTAATACCCTTGAGAGTTTTCAACCCACAAGTATTTATTATAGATTTGACGGAGTTTTCATATAGTCAAACGAAGGTTAATGGAGGGAGTTTCACTTCCTTTAAGTAGAAGTATATATATAAGTAGAATCAAATACAATATATGTATGTGAATTAATTAATTGTAACAGAGAAACAGCAAGCTATCATTTTTTGGTACACTGAAACTTCGTTACATTTGGCTATCGGGCAAAGAAGATAATTGAGGAGGAGTTTGAGGCAGGAAGCAGAAATGGTCAAAGTGACAGGGTGTATTCCTTCAACCGAGAGAATATCTTTAAATATGTTACAGAGCTCGGCTTCGACTAGTCTGGTGCGGTAGAGCAGCTGTGAAGGGGTTTCGAGAGATTCATACAAGCACAGAGTGAAAAAATTACCTGAAAGATCGCTTCACAAAGCTGACTATTGACATGCCCGCCTAAATGTATCATTGAAGCCGGCAACACCAAGGGAAGAATTGAATCGTCCTTACCAAAAATGCACGATGAAAGTGCACGGTACACCCTCCCCGAAGACGATCCAGCATCTACATTTATGACGCCATGGTTTACTAGCATCATGGACTGCCTCTGAAATTGGGGATTCCGGTGCGAAAGATTAGAACCGAGGCGCGGTGATGAGAGCAGAACACCGACCAGAAATACGGGCATTCACGCTAAGCTGACGCAGTTTGCCGCAGAGAAACGACCGGAGATCTTCATCAGACCCAAGTGGTGGAGTTCAGAGTACCTCGAGAATATCAACAATACTTAAGCAAACGCAGGACCAGGTTCTGGCCAAAGCTGGCCGACGAAGTAGTGATCGGGATGGAGTATTTAGCGAAGGCAAGAGTGGAATTCGGATGCGGAGAAGAATCAATAAGTGGAGGCTTTTATATGCACAACTATGGTAAGGGAAGAGTTGGACCATCGAACGATCACAATAAGTCCGAGTCCAGTCATCCCACCATCAAAGTGTTCAATAGAACCGGCAGTGGTCAAGTCAAGTGGGATATAGCACGGGAGCGTAAAGGGAAGGTGAGCCGCAGATCGTCCAAAGAGAATACGGCGAAAGTAAAATAAGCACCAAAAAAACCTTGCGGAATACATGGGAAACGAAGTCAAGAGAACAAAACCAAGACCACGAGCCGAATATCTACCAGAGATTTTGCTAAGCGATATGGTGGCGCTTCCAACAATACAGCAACGAGGAATGAAACGGAGGAGTCTCGCTGTGGCAAGTGAGAGTGTGAGTGAGCAAATGTTTATATATGATTGTTGATAGTTGTTATTATAAAATAACATTCTGTCTGCGTGTAGAAAAGTATAACAAGCAAGACCATTATTTGAAAATTTGATTTGGCCGTGGATGATCGTTAGGCATTACTTACACTTCAATTGTGAATACAAATTCTCTTTAATTTTATATCTTTTAACACATATATTTTTTTATTTTAGTTTTATAATTTGAGCTCCATTTTATTTGATTTTATAATTTAAATTCCAATTTATTTTAAATTCTATAATTTTCTCTTACAACCTTTCACAACTGAGTACCACTAACGGATAAAAAATGAACGCATTCAAAAAAAAAAAACAAGATAGGGCTGTTTTAAGATGTTGTGTTGGAAATGGTGAATTTACATTTTCAGTTTTGGAGAACGAATTAAGTAAAATGTTACAGCAAGTTTTATTATAATATTTAAAAATGAATGAGATCCACGTCGTCAACATGCCGATGGTATTGGGGCGACGATGGTTGAACCCACTGCTCTAAATTCTTCAGTGTTTCACGATCTTTATGGACAAGCCCACGTAGACATTGCTGGAAAGTGGGACAACAACGCTTTTGATGTTTGTTTTCGATTGACCGTTTGCTGGTGTTTAATACTGATCGAGTCTCGGTTCATGGCCGGCGCAAAATTTCTCGGCCACCAGTAGACATTTCTCGTTGGTGCTGGGATGGCTTCCTCTCCAACATTTTGGGTAATGATCGGTAAAGCAGAGTATGGTGTTTTACACCACAGCGAGCACAGCTGTTCGCCAAGTTCCACGAGCGAGTTGTGTGTGAAGTTTTCGGACTGGTATCGCTCATCCGGTGTCATCGCAAGAAAGTGTGAGCGACAGCATAGGTGAGACTAACAAAACTTCTGTACCCTTTAAAGATAGGATCGAAATTCATTATAAGTTTGGGATTGCGAGATAGATGGAGGCGTGTAAAATTTTAAGAGATGCAAGAATGAAGGGAGAGAGTGTACTGTGTGGGAGGTAATATGCAAAGTTTAGTTATGTTGCGAGTGACTAAGACGCTTTCCAATCGTTTGGTGGTTAAATGTCGCCTCTAATGACAACGAGCAAAGTTTAAGGTGTATAGTTTTTGGGACAAAACACACAAAAGTTGACCTTTGAGTGAGGTGCTGTTCGGAGAATCGACGTTTTAATAAGAAAGGGCCCGGCGAAGTCAACGTATGTAGTTTGGAAAGGAAGTGAGTAGGAATTTTCACAGTGAA